ATAAAGTATTTGTTCAGGGTGTTAAATGGAAATTTAAAAAAAAATCATAGATGTTCAATAAATATACACATTTTTATATATATTTACACAATAAATACATAAGTCGTATCAATTATTTTATATATTAATACAGCATGGTATGACTTTGAATTACGGTTCAATATGAACGCGATGGTCCAAAGGGGTACAAAAGAAAACATGAAATAAAAGATGAAGAAGAGTAGATGTTCACATGACTAAATAAATTAGTATGCTGGTTTGTAAGCTGGCTTGTAGGCCGGGGCAGAGTATGCTGGTGCAGCGTAGGCTGGTGCAGAGTATGCTGGTGCAGAGTAAGCTGGCTTGTAGGCTGGTGCGGAGTATGATGGGGCCTTGTATCCACCTTCGTTCTTGACGACGGCGTTGAAACCGCTGTGGTCATCGGCGGTGTATTCGACGGTACGGATTGAGCCGTCGGCTTCGACGAGGCTGTAGGTTCCCTTGACGTAACCGTTTCCGTCACTGTATTCGGATTGGCTGTGTACGTCGTAGGTGTGTGGGTCGTTTACGCTGTATTCGAAGTTGTATGGTGTTGGTGCGTATGCGGGCTCTGGGGCGTAAGCCTTTGGTGCTGAGTAAGCTGGAGCAGAGTACGCTGGCTTGTAAGCTGGGGCAGAGTATTGGGCGAGGGCGGTAGCTACGCAAGCAGCGAAGATGACGAACTATATAAAAAAAAAAAACATTCCGATTTAAAAATAATTAATTTATCCCCGTACATTTTTTTCTTGGATTAAAATTTGATTTTACTTTCAAAACATCAAATAAAAATAATTTTGACTTACTTTAGCGGCCATTTTAATGTTCTTTTGGTTGTTTGGTCAAATTGTTAGATGACTGTGTACAGAAATGAACTGGTGATTATCATGAAAAGAGTTGTTGTATTTATGGTAAAAATTGGTCTCAGCATCCCTTCCATATGTTATATTATATATATGGATAACTTTTTCCCCTTATGTGTCGTAGAATAAGAACCGGTTGAGGCGTAAACACCTGATAATACATTTCATTTTTATTAAATTGTGATTTAACAGTTTATATTTGGTTCAAGTTTATTAAAATTATAAATTATGTTTACGTTCACAGTCTATTTAATATACGTTTATAGTTCTCTCAAAGCATTCACTTATAGAGGTTAATTTAAGATTACACAAATTTTAAGATCATTTTAAATACTGTTTATAGTCAGATAAAATATCTATGGTTGGATTTTAGTTAAATATTATGAAAAAAGTTATAAAGATTTTTATAATGAATAAAAAATGAAATGAGTTTATAGTTTTCACTGTACCAATTGTTAGATATTACAACATTTTATTATACTGAAAAATTTTTAATTCACTGTTTAATTTAATAATAAATATACATAATTTAATTTCAAATGGACAAAAAAATTTTTAAATAGTATTTAGTTTTTAGTTTTCTCAAATAGAATAAGTAATTTAAGATATTTGAAAAATTACATCATATCTATATAATTTTAACATAAATGTTTGGTAAATATATATATTATACCATATATTTTTACTATCTTTGGTATTTTTAAATTATGACAAAATTAATTTCATCTATAAATATTGCTTTTTTCCTCTAATTTTT